ATATGCTAATTTTTTGGGACAGGCATTTTGGGTTTTCATGAGCTGTATGCCATAATCATCAGTATTAAAACAATTAAAGACCTGAAATATTTCAGTTGGTGTGCAATGAATCTGAAATATATGAAAGTTTCATTTTTATCATTACATTATGGAAAATAATGACCTTTATCACAATATGCTCATTTTTTGAGAAGGACCTGTACAGTGACATCAAGGACATCTCACATCTCGTTGAAGTACAACAAGGCCTTCATTGAAAGCTTTCAACCCAGTTCCTTCTTTACCACACCAGATCAAAGCTGCACACTCCTTACTGAGGACAAGGACTTTGTCTGTGCTGCTTCATCCTACCAGAAGAGTTCAAGCATTGCACCTTTTTCAGGTTAAAAACCGTGGCCTCACTTTTAGGATATGGCTCTCATCCCAGCTGAACTACCACAGTGCACACTGAAGGTCAAAGACACCAATGCAACAATATCATGCATAAAGCACAGATCAGATCCTGTGCTTCCCAATCCAGACCCCTTCTTCACGACTGCTTCTTGAGAGCCTGTCCATTAACACTACAAACAAGACTGGAGATGATGGGCAGCTCTAGTGGAGTCCGACTCACGCCAGAACCGTGGTTGACTTTGTGTCGAGAATAGACACAGCTAGGACTGGATAATCCTTAAAAGGGACAAAAGAACCCCTTACTCCCTCAGTACCCATCACACAATTATTCAGTCAGTTTCTTTATTGTCATTCGCACCTCATGTGGTACATGTGGTGGAGCGAAATTATGTACACAGGGTCCCAGTTACATCCAACAATAAAATGTCTAAGAAAAACAGTAATAACATCTAAGATATGAACTAAGAAAAACATCAACTAAATATACACTAAGCACTCATAACATAAAACATTGAACATCAGCACAAACATGAACATGAGTCTGTGTGAACAGATGAGCACACATGAACACATCAACATGAAACATCAGCAGCAACATGAAACAGATCAGCAGCAGCATGATGTGATTTTTCACAGTGATTATTCTGGTTAGAGATTCATGAGTCTAACAGCCTCAGGGTAGAAGCTGTTCCTCAGTCTAGTGGTTCTACACTTAATGCTCCTCAACCTCCTTCCTGAGGGGAGCGGGGCAAAAAGTGTGTGTGCTGGGTGGGTGGGGTCCTTCATGATGCAGGGGGCCCTCTTCCTGCTTCTGGAGGTGTAGATGTCTGTGATGGTGGGGAGACTGACTCCAACATCTTCTGTGCAGCCTTCACCACTCTCTGCAAAGCTTTTCTTTCTGCAGCTGTGCAGCCTCCATGCCACACATTGGTGCTCAAGCACAGGATGCTCTCCACTGCACACCTGTAGAAGGAGGTGAGGACTGAGCTTCCCAGACCAGCTCGCCTCAGCCGTCTGAGGAAGTAGAGTCTCTGATGACAGCCTGGATGGGTAGCTGCACAATCATACGTGAGCCGAGTAAACAGGAGGTGGCTCAACACACATCCCTGAGGAGAGCCAGTGCTGAGGGTTATGGTGGAGGAGGAGAAATTGTGGATCCTCACTGACTGTGGTCTGTTTGTTAAAAAGTCTAGTACCCAGTTGCAAATGGAGGGGCTTAGTCCTAGTGTGGATAGTTTGTCCATCAGGGTTTGGGGGATCATGGTGTTGAAGGTGGATGTGAAGTCCACAAAGAGCATACGGACGTAGGAGTCTTTCTGCTCCAGGTGGGTGAGCGCAGTGTGGACCACAGAGCATTTTGTAGGTCCACAACAGATGTATATTGGACCATCAAACTCCATTAGGGTAAAGATCTGGTCAACTGTTTCACAACCAAACAAGGATTGACAATTTGTTGGAGATTCCAGTACTTGGAGCAAGTACTTCGAGCACTTGAGTAAATTTTCCCAAAGTGGCTAGGAATTTAATTGAATGTTTATTATTGTCACTAATATATTTAATGACCTGGCAGACATGGTGGCCAAAAAGTTTTGAAACGGTTTTAGGATCTCATGCGTATTTGACACAAGGACAGAGTTGACAAGAAGTTGTGGTGACGGGTCTGATGAGGGAGCAGCTTTGCAGTCAGAGATTTCAATAATGAGTTTACTTTTTTTGTTTCATGTAAATCTACTGTAATAAACAACAAAGTCCATGCTCAATAATCCAGGTGTACAATCCAACAATTTTCAGTCAGGTCATCTGGACTTTTTTTTTGTGTGCTGAAAAACATTTCTCCTTCCATCCAGAAGGCTTCATCAGTCAAAGAAACACACAACAAAACTGATTCTTTCCCCAACAGTTACTCCAAAGTGGAACAAACCAGTTCAGCACAAAAAAAAAATGAAACTGTCCAGATGACCTGACTGAAAATTGTTGGATTGGATACCTGGATTATTGAGCATGGACTTTGTTGGTTTTGAACCAGTTTGACAAGACTGTCGATAAGGGAGAAGGCCGTCACCAGAGGAGGGGGCGTACCAAAGAGACCATCTTAGCACCAACATAGCTGGTTTGTTCCACTTTGGAGTAAGCTGTTGGGGGAAGAATCAGTTTTGTTGTGTGTTTCCTTGACTGATGAAGCCTTCTGGATGGAAGGAGAAATGTTTTTCAGCACACAAAAAAAAAGTCCAGAAGACCTGACTGAAAATTGTTGTACTGTAGTAAACCTTTGTAAAATACTCTAGAATGTAAGAAATGTCATCTACTTTATTCAAAATACACCCTCCCCTCCTCCCGATCCGTGAAACTATTGTCTGACATTAAACCGGTCCATGATGCAAAAAAGGTTGGGGACCACTGATGCAAAGCATCGATTAGTGTTTACAGATTCAGATGAGTTTTGTGTAGATCTAGTATAGAGCTGTATGAATGGGTAAATGAGGACACAGGTTGTTGTAAAGAGCTTTGAGTATCTCGATTAGAAAGAAAGGAGCTGTATAAGTACAGTCCATTTTTCCTTTTCTGTTTGCTACAACCTCCATTAGTCCAACTGAAATCCATGTGCTGCATTTATTCTGTCCACTATGAACATAAGAAAATTCAGATTTAATAGTTGTCTTACATTCTTCATGAGTTTGTTCTGTGCATCTCATAAACTGTTCTGTTGATTGTTTCGTTTTCAATCCATGTTTTTGGCAGGCAGTTCAAGCCCAAGAGGACAAAGATCGTCATTGATTTTAATTCCATTAACGACCCCGGAATCATGGACAACACAACCAAGTAAAAAACATCACTACTAGAGCCTGCGGCATTAAGCAGAGGACAGTGGAACAACTTAGAGATCCAAGCTGCTCATTTAATTGTGTTTGACTCTGTGTAAAGAAAAATCTGAGCAAGCATTGAACGTTTTGGGTCCGTTTCTGCTGCTGTATGTTCTTTTTGTTTGTTTGTTTTATTTGTGTTTAGAACAACACCAGGCTTGTACACAAGTACTCAGTATTTTCTCATGTCTGTTTCAGGGTGGTGCCATTTTTGTGTAAGTGAATCCAGACAGATGCTATTTTTTTAATAGAAAAAAGTTCCTAATTACTATTACATTGCTACAATTTAAACATCAGCCTTCGACGGAGCCTGCTTTCCTTTTCTGTTTGCCCGTCATACAGATTGGCAATAAGCCATTTTCCCGCTCTTTTATGGTAAATTATTCTTTTCTGTATATAACGAATATAAAGAGATGTTCCTGTAATGTTGGGGTCAAAAGTGGACGTATACTGTTCATACATTTTCTAGTTGCTGATACAGGTTTTTGAAACACATAGCTGTCAGCTGTCTGTGTTTTATAAGGTGAATAAAAGTTGAATTACACAACTTGATGCCAACTGTATATTTGCATTCATCTTTTATTTATTTTTAAGCAAAATTATACAGGTGAGAAAGTGATACAATCCATGAAGTATGGGATACCACACCCCATGTGTCCTGGATGTTGGCCTTTAGGCAAATGATGTGATGACAAGTGAAAGGTCCTGCCAGCAACATGGAACTGTTCCTCTTCATTCCTCAGTTCAATGTTCTGGCTTTGTAGTTGTCAGTGCAAGAAGTAGAGCAATCTATTATGATAGAAACTTAGTATCTATCAATTGAATTCAGTTTATTTATGCAGCACCAAGTCACAACAGAAGTCGTCTCGGACACTGAACAGAAACATTCATGTATAAAAAATAATAATTTAACACTATTTATCTGAGGAGCAGACTGCTTTGAATTTAACTCCTCTGCAGAACTCTCATCGACCGGCTGGGTTTGGGAGGAACAGATACACAATGGCAGGTTGAGAATCGCATATTAAGATAGAAATGTACGTTGGAGTCAGCCTCTCCACTGTTAGAACGGGAGCTGGCTACGGGTCACCGGTCACTGCAGCTAGCTGCTGCTAGCCGTGGGCCTTGGAACTCCTCTCGGACCCAGGACCCACCTTCAGCCCACGCTGTTCCCCAGGCTCGGACCTCCCTCAGAAGCGTCTAGGTGTCTAACTCACACTATCAATAAATCAAGGAAACATGAATTCAGTTTTACCAATTATATTAAATCAAGGCAGGAAAAGGTTACAGTTTACAGCGCTGGCCTCTCCGGTACAGTTCCACGTGATCAGAAACCGGAAGGGCTTTTTGAAACGAACAAAAAAAACATATAATACAACTTTAAAACAGATTCCCAGCCAGTTTTCACACCTGATGGGAACAGAGGGGCCTCGTCTGTGAATTAGAGGAACAAAGACCTTAAGAAACCCCTACTGTTAAGGTGTGAGGTGTGAATTGTCAATCTACATATGTATGTGTATCTCACTCAGCCTTATAACCTGAACCACTCACTCACTGCTGTTTGAATTGAGAAAGCTCCAGATGAGGAGTGAAACGTCTTCTGTTACGAATAAAGTCCAGTGGTTTTTGTACTGAACGCTTTTTGAATTCATCACGTCCTGGATGACTGAGAATCTTCACCAGCATCATGATCTGCTCTTAAAACTAATTACAACCAAAAAAAAAGTTCTTGTCCCTGCCCTCATATATTAATTATCAATTTATCAAATCATGAAGTAATAATTAAAAAATAATAATCAAATATGTAGCACACGAAATTATCTTCAATTAATTCAAGAATAATCAGTAGAACATCCCATAACTAATCGTTAATAAAAAACAGGAATTAATTCTATTATAAATCATGCTTGTTCATCCTTTCAGTCAAAAATTAAACGGGAAGCAATTACCAAATAATCAAACATTCATCAAAAGTAATGCCTTAATATATAGTATACAAAATTATGTTGTTCAATCAAGTGAGTTTAAGAAAAATCACCATACCGGTCCCTAATACTGCAAATAAAACTGTAAATGTCAATATTTTACCCACCCCATTAGCACCCCATAGTTAGTCAATCCATCAATCATCTCATCCAGGTATAATATCATATATGTGTCAGCCTCACGGTCAGAAACTGGAAGTTGGTTCCACAAGAGGAGCAGCATGAGAACTGAAAGGTCTTCCCCCCCATTTAGATTTTGGAAACTCTACAACTCCACAAGTAAACCTGCAGCCTGAGAGTGAAGTGCTCTGTTAGGAAAATATGGAACAAGATCTGTAATATAAGATGGAGCTAGGCTGTGAGAGCTTTGTAGGTGAGAAGTAAGATTTTGAAATAAATTCTGGATTTGACAGGGAGCCAATGGAGAGAAACTAAAACTGGAGAGATATGATCTCTCCCAGTAACTCCAGTTAAGACTCTGGCAGCAGCATTTTGGATCAACTGAAGAATTTAAAGAAGTATTTGGACACCCAGATAATAAACCATTGCAATAGTCCAGTCTAGACGTGACAAATGCATGGACCAGTTTTTCTGCAAACACTAAACATTTGTCCATCCTTGTTAAACAATTATTTTACAAATAAATAATCCACCCAGTTCTTAAAAAAATATTGATTTACGCTTGAAGCGAACTTCTTGGTTGTTCCAAATAAGACAGTTATGAGGGGAAAAGTTGTGTTTAATAAGTGAAAGGTCTTTAATAATCACCAATGCAAACGACACAGTTCCTGTTTTTGGACTTGTAAAGAACATTTTTGTGATAAACAGTTCATTATACTGTTTTGAATACCAGCTTTATGAGACCGTGGGCTGGAACAAAGATCTTTTTTCTTGTGAAGTTACAGTGCCTAATCTTGCCCAGGAGACTGAATTTATAGATGCTTTAAAGCTAGTTGATCATACATCATATTATCCAGTCAGTTTCAATAGCAGTGTGTATGTTTTGACAAAATATAACCTTGATGATGTCATTGCACTTAAAATAAAAATGAATAACCTTGAAACAGTGGAAGAGAAATGTTCATAATACGTGATTTGTTATTGTCTATGTTGTAAAAAAGTAATGTTACCCTGCAGCTTTGTAAAGATTGAAAATAAATGAGCAAATAGTGTGAATTGTTACTGGGAGGACTTAAAACAAGATTTTACAGCTAAAAAATGTTCTTAAACATACAGTATGATCTCATACATATCTATGTGATACAATTTTGCTTAATATGCATGTAAAGTAACTATTTTTAGGATTTTGTAACTAAGTAAGAAATAAGAGATGTATATTCTCAAAACAAGATTAAAAATCCTTTTTGGCTGGATACAAGAGTGTAAGACTAGGTTAGATGGACTATATTTGCAGTGTACCGGTACTTTGTAATCTGACTATAATGCAAAGAGAAATTATCTCGTAAAAGATGTTAATAAAATGTTTGCACTGTTTAATCATATCTTTTTAAAATACCAAATATTTTATTTTCACATTGTTGTTTGTCACATATGTAAAGGAAAGAGTCCTCAGCTCGTTGAATTTTTATTAGTAATTTTATTCTGAAGGGGCACCACTTGCTTTACGGTTCTTAAGCAAGAAAATTATTAAATCAGACTCAAGTTTTGTGCTCTGGTGTGTTCTTTTTGTATTAAATTCAAATGTCATAATAAAAACGCTTTGAGTCAAAGTACAATTTTGTGAAGTTTATTGTCCACTTTGGTGAATATAAGTGGTCAAAAAATCATGAGAACCTCTGAAGAATGAATAATGGCTTTACTTTGACAACACAAGAGGTTATGGAATTATCTTCTAAACTTTAATATGGTGAATTATGAGGTTCAAAAGCAGAGTAAATTATCCTCTATAAAGTTAACTAAATGAAGTGTTTTGGCTAGATGTGATTTGTCAATTTAGGAAAACTTAATTCTAATTAGTAATGATGAATTTTGTTAATTGGACAACTTCTTATCTTGGGCCTCAGACACCAGCAGAGAGAAGGAGCAGCTTTTCCTACCGATTTGAAGTTATAGTTCAACCGCCTGAGGGTTACCAGGGACTCTTTTGAGATGAGTTAAGGCGCCGAAGGTGGATATCCCTTGACACTGGACATCAGCTGAAATCAGGAGTTGGTAGTTATCTGGCTCCCGATGGGGTCAGTTGATGGGCTCCCGGAGGGCTGCGTTTTCTCCTCCTGGTGACGAGGATCTTCTGGCATAAATTTCCGATTGCTTGACCTTTCTTCTTCAAAAGCTTCCCCAAGACTGCTCTAAACTAAACGTCAGAATAACTTTTTCTGATTTAGAGGGCGTTACAATATTGATGGTCGAGCCAATCAAAACAGAAAGGCTGGACCTTTGTTTCAGGTTACTGTTTCATTTGAACTTTAATAACATTATTAAAAATAAATGGCTAATTTACTCTGCTTTGGGTAAATACTCAATATAACAGCAGGATAATCAAAACTTCTAAACAGTTTTTACTCATCCATAAATATTTTCATTAGAACTTGTGCAAACAACAGTTGAAACCTCTGATTACCAGTTTTACATCTACTTTCTCTTATGCATGATTAAAACTGAGTATTGAACTGAGAAAGGAAGTACACAAGTTATTTCATCAGAATCAGTTTATTATTATCGTCATGTCAATGAAGGAGGTTCACAAACTAGGAATTTGCTTCAACATAAGGTGCGAATAGTAATAAAGTAAAATAAAGTAAAAATGAGAACATTACATAAGACATAAGCCTGTGTACACCCACAAATAAAGTAAAATTAAAACCATAACATAACCATATGTACACCCATACAATAGAAAACAATAAAAAGCTTAGAGAACAGTACAGATGGAGTATTCAGTTATAATACAGATGTAATGTGACCAAAGCAGAAATTATGAGGTAGCATTATGAGTGTTCAGGAGTCCAACAGCAGAGGGGAAGAAACTGTTCTTATGGCGGGAGGTCCTGGTCCGAATGGACCGAAGCCTCCTGCCTGAGGGGAGTGGTTCAAACAGTCCGTGTGCAGGGTGAGCAGGGTCAGCTGTGATCCGACCTGCTCGCCTCACAGTTCTGGAGACGTACAGGTCGTGGAGGGATGGAAGGCTGCAGCCGATCACCTTCTCAGCTGAGCGCACAACGCGCTGCAGTCTCAGTCTGTCCCTGGCAGTGGCCCCGGCGTACCACACCGTGATGGAGGAGCTGAGGATGGACTCCATGATGGCCGTGTAGAACTGCACCATCAGCTTGGCCTTCTTCAGCTGTCGCAGGAAGTACAGTCTCTGCTGGGCCTTCTTGATGAGGGAGCTGATGGTCGGCTCCCACTTGAGGTCCTGGGTGATGGTGGTGCCGAGGAACCGATAAGAGTTTGCAGTGGTGATGGGGGTATCATTACAGGTGAGGGGGGCAGAGGGGCTGTGGCTTTCCTGAGATCCACAATCATCTCCACTGTCTTCTGGGCATTGAGTTCCAGGTTGTTGCTGCTGCACCAGGTCACCAGCCGGTCCACCTCCCTCCTGTATGCAGACTCATCACCGTCCGAGATGAGCCCGATGAGGGTTCATAGCAGTTTTACAGCAAAACGTTCAATTGTGTTCAGGAGAACTCAGAAATTTAAATTGTTCAGAAAAATAATTTCTACCGTGGGATGGCAAAAGAGTCCTTGAGGAACAATAGGGTGGTTCTTTCTCACACTCAAAGACTGCAGGACGAATCCTCCCTTTTAGGAAGAGATACACATAACGCTCAGATGTTATATTTCAAAGGTCAGATGGAAAGGTTCTCATACAAAGGGCCTTTCAGCTTTGCTGAAATCATAATAACAGGTGTGCAATTAATTACAATAACAGATTTTTGTTATTCATTTTTTTGTAACATGGTTTGTTACTGTCCAGCTTTGGGAATGAGAGTCAGTCTTACTTTCAAAGTATCAAAAGAATAAAAGTTGATGGTAGAAAAACCTTGATGTGTCCCTGCACATACTAAATAAAGTATAAATAAAGTGGTATGGTATGGTAAAGGCATTTCACTTAAACAGAATCACTTTTTACAAGAAAATGACTTTCCACAAGTGTTGTTTCAAAAACTGGAAGAGGACTAACAAATGTATGTGTGTGTCCTGGGGATGACTACCAGCTGCTACCCCAACAGATTTTTGATTGATCTGTGAAAATGACTTAGTTAAAACCATTTTTCTTTTCTAAGTTTGGTTAGCTGTGGCGACCGTCTTGAATCAGGTTGATTCCAACAGTTAATCAATGGTAAAGGTACATCCAGTGATTACTTCCGGTAAGATGGCGCCCGTGTACATGGCTTGCAATCCACCTCTGCTGATGGTGTTCGGATTATTTGTGTTTTGTTCGTTTTTAATCTGGGACATAAACTCGTTGCTGGTGTATGACCAACAACAGCTTCTAGATCTTCGTTTTTCTGCTGCTGATGTTTATTTGGATCATTATGAGCGTACCGCTGGACCCCCCCCCCCCCGCTGTTGGTGAACGTGCCTGTTTACCTCGGCTGGGCTCCTCATCTGCCTGCCCGGAAATATCGCTCCAGCCGCCGGGGAAAACGCGCTGGGCGGCTGGTAAAGCTTAAAGCCCTGTGCGCTGCATCTTCCTCTTCAGCAGGTGGTCATGGTTTCCAACTCCAGCTTCCCGCGTGCCTGGATCAGGTAAACAACGGGAGTTGTCGGCCGGTGCGCATCTCGGACCGACCCAGAGGGGCTATTATTGAAAATCTGCAGCCACTGGCGCGCGCTAATTTTACCGCTGCGGGGTCCCCTTTGGACAGTATCCAGATGTGTTTGGTCAACGCACGGTCTGTTTCCAACAAAACTTTTATCCTCAGGGACTACTTTCAAGAGCATGATTTGGACTTTTTTTGCACCACAGAGACTTGGATGTCTCCGGGTGAGTCCAGCGCCTTGACGGAATTATTGCTACCCAACTGTTTGTATTTTTATGCACTGCAGCCATGAGGCCGGCGCGGTGGTGGATTTTTAACAATATTCAAATCAACTTTTGACTGTAAACAACTGCCCATCCCAGTTTCACACGCCAACTTTGAGCTGAGTGTCTCTGAACTCGGCCATTCGCCTTCGATGTTATGCACACTCGTCTACCGCCCACCTTGCTCTAAGGATTTCATAAATGAGTTTTCTGATTTTTTGGCTGAAATCACACCAAAATGTGATCATGTTTTCATTATTGGTGACTTTAATTTGCACGTATGCTGTCTGGAGAAGCCCTTGGTTAAGGACTTTTTAGATGTATTGGACTCATTTAATCTAACTCAGCATGTAAACGGTCCCACCCAAGAGCGCGGACATACACTGGACCTTGTTTTAACTCATGATGTGTCTGTTAATAATCTTGTTATTGGTGATAATGTTTTTTCAGACCACATGCCAGTCCGGTTCGAGTTCACCCTCCCCCATCTAACTCCTAAGCCGTGCATTCCTGCACATCACAGCTGTACCATTAACCACTTCACTGCCACACGTTTCACAGATGTTTATAACTCTGAAATGATCATTCAGCCCCCCGTGTTTCTCACCACCACAGAGGCGCTGACATCCCAGTTCAACTCTGTCTGCTTAAAGACTCTGGATCATGTTGCTCCTGTTAAAACTAGAAAATCAAAACTCAGAGCAGAACCTTGGCTGAGTGACATCACCAAGGCCGTTAGGCAGCAGTGCAGGAGGGCGGAGCGCAAATGGAAGAAAGACAGGCTGCAGGTCTCTTTTCAAATACTTGATTGTTAAATCATGCTTCTTCCAACTGAGGTGGCTGTCTAAACTGAAGCCCATCTTGTCCAGAAATAACCTGGAGACAGTAATACATGCATTCATTACATCTAGGCTTGATTACTGCAATTCACTCCTGTTTGGTATCAGTCAGACCTCCATTGCACGACTACAACTGGTCCAGAATGCAGCAGCCCGATTTTTAACCAGTACAGGCAAAAGAGAGCACATTACACCAGTTTTGGCCTCACTGCACTGGCTACTGGTTCACCTTCGAATCCAGTTCAAAATACTCATGTATGTCTACAAATCGCTGAATAGTCCCCCCCCCCCCCAATCTCTCTGATCTGCTACAACCGTATGTCCCACCACATTCCCTGAGGTCAGCAGACCAGTTGCTCCTCACAGTTCCAGGAACTCGTCTTAAGCGCAGAGGTGACAGGGCCTTCTCTGTAGTAGGACCAAGACTTTGGAACGAGTTACCTCTGCTTGTCAGACAAGCCCCCTCCCTCTTAGTTTTCAAATCCCGTTTAAAAACCCACTACTATTCAGTAGCTTTCAACACCAGATGATCTGTGTTTTGAACCTGTATGCTCTACACTGGTTAGTCATCATATTTATTATCTGCATCGTTTTTATGTCTGTATTCTGATTTACTTCATTTTGTATTTTGCTTCGTGTGTTACCTGTTGTTCTGTCTGTACAGCACTTTGGTTGGCCTTGTCGCTGTTTTAAGTGCTCTATAAATAAAATGGTATGGTATGGTACTTTGTTAAAGTTTCACCAAACGCCCTTCAGTGGTAAATCAGATACGACCAACATTTGAACACACAAGCGATTACAAGACCCCCCCCCCCCCACACACACACACACACACCCTTTCATGCAGTACATAACACAACACAATGAAATCAAGTTTTCAAGGGTTTTTTATTCTTTACTGTAGAAACACTGTACATAAATTACTTTCTCTGAGACTAATATTGATGTACGGATAAATGGAGTTTTATTAACCTTCAAAATTAAGGTAAAGTCCCGCAACATTGTGGGCTTGTCTGAAAAACTTAAGACTGGCAGCATATGATGTGTAAAGTTGCTTTCCTACCTTTTTGTAAACACATGTACACACTGAAAAGTTCTCTAAAAGAACAGACCCACAATCAGGAGAAAATATCCACATCCACATTTCATCAATTATTTTCACTTTGGGAGACGCATCATCTCCCCAAGAAGAAACGAGCAAAAACAAAGACAGAAGCAACTATCTGTTGCTACTTACAGCTACGCCCCGTCCCCTGAAGTCATGACATGTTCCTATTGCAAGCAGTACTACGACCTTTGACCCACAAAAACCACAAGGTCTATGCATCATGAAGCAGAGTCATGTTGTTTTGTAGAAGTGAAGGACTTGGGTTGCAGGGGGGGTTACAGGACTGGTGAGTTCATTCAGTCTACAAGATACCCCATGTAGTCAAAGCAGCTGGTCTAGAGGAGTTTCTAGACCTTGGACCAGCACAAGAAGGACAACGAGAGGTGCTTGTAGAACTGATCAAACAGGTCATTGATCTCAGTAGGAAGAAAAAAAACACAACACAAAGTTTAAAGTTCATATCATGATCCTTTGTGTTGGTGACAGTGTTGTTATAGCAGTAATAGTGTGATACATGTAGGTAATAGTATGTAAATGATGTTTTTTCTTGTTTTTTATATACCCTTTTTTCTGAAGCAAATGCAAGTTTATATATATATAAAAAAAGAAAGTCCAAACAAAAAATATCAGTCATTTCTTTTTGTTTGTCTTTGTACAAATTGTAGTCCATTGTTGTGCCTGTCTCTCTTAGAGAGAGTCCTCAACCGTTCCTTTCGAGGGCTTCAGCCATGGAACAATAAATCTTATAGACAGGGCTCGACCCATCTGAACCCACGACGACGTGTCACCTGCAACATCTGGGAAGGATCCAGTTTACAGATGTTTAAATGCTTATGATGGCTGCTCAAACACTAAGTAGGCCATCTGAACTACCTTTAAGTCCTTTTTTTAAAATCCAAGTCTTTAAGAAGCCAATACAAAAATGGCAGTCAGTTTGGCCCAGCCTAACACACTGAAGTGTAAAGACATGCGTGCAGCCGGTCTGAAGGCAAATAAAAAACAGAGACAAAAAGAGAGAGAAGGCATCGGTCAAAACAACCGTTGTTCCAGGCTCGTATAATGTCACATCTGTAGCTTGTTCATATCCAGTCTTAACAACTTCAAACAAAAAGAACCAAACAAGAGCCAGTGGGTAGTTTTGCAGTTTGAAACAGTTCAGTGACGTCCGTTTAGTGTTAAAAACGCACCCTTTGTTAGTCTTTGACAGTCAGGGCTGGAAACGTCGGTGTTTCGTCACGCCGTGTTACCTCCTCCCGATCTCACTCTGTCGTAAGAACTGGATGTTGTTTGCACTGTCGGCTAGTTCGGGGTATTGCTCGATGGACAAGACGTAGTAGCCATCATAACCCAACACTTTCCCGCTGCTCAGCAGCTGCCTCTTCTCTCCCTCTGTCCACAGACGCACTCCTTCCTCTCCGTCTCTCACACGCTGTTGTTCACGAGCCCAGGCACCCGATAACGCCCGCTGCCTTGCCTGCTCCAAAACTCGAGCCTTCTCTTCATCGAGAGTCGTCCCGTAGCGCACATGGAGCACCAGAGCGCCATACTGCAGCTCTACATCAGCGAAGCGACGTGTTCTTCCACCCATCACGGTCGTAGACTGGGACACCGTGACGTTCACCCCATTTTCCATTGACTTCCTGCCTGAAGTAAGCCTGAGTGCACTTAAGTCGTTCTCCGGCAGACTGGTCTTGATAAAGTAGTGCGTGTCTCGTCCCTCCACTGTAAAATGTAGATCCTCAAGGTAAAAAGCATTATTTAGGACTCCAGCCACTTTGATGCAGTCCTCACTAGCTATATTTAAAACATTGGTCACCACACGTCCTTGGACCACAGCAAACATCACTCCTTTTCCGATCAGAGACCTCACAGTTGCAAACCACAACCAGGGTCTGGTGTGGTCTGAATGCCGGCGGGTCAGTTGGATTTCTGGCATACGCTCGAAGGACAGGAAGGAAGTGGACTGACGGGTCACCTCCTGCTGGACACCTGAAATAGACTATGGACAGAACCAACAGGTAAGACATCAGAATATGTGTGGAGCAAAACCCAGTGCTGTAAGTAAAGGTAATTTAAATGTTAACTTCTGTACACCAAGTTGTTTCCTGTAGTCCTGTACCAAACACTGATTTAAATCTACCGCCACAACAAAAAATGCTTTAAAAAGAGCCCACTGTTGATGTAAAACCACTTTTTTTTCTTACTCTTTTAACTGTATTCACATCTTCTGTTAAATTCCCTGTTTCACTTTGGAAAACAATAATGAAAAACTCAGTTGTTCCTGCTGAGGATGCAAGAAAGGGTGGTTTGACCTCTTTTTTGTTGATTGTTTAAAGTAAGCAGCAAACTGTTAAAGCACATAGGAGACTTACAGGCAGGTCGTCCCAGAGTTGGCTCTTTTTCATCTCCAGTGATGGTTCTGTCAGGTCGAACTGGGGAATTGGGAATCCTGGGATTGCATTATGGAGATGAAAGCCAAATGTAACCAACCAGATGTTTACATCTGCAGAGAAACAAGTCATAGAAATACAAAACAATCAAAATGATTTTAAGATAATATGCATCCTGGAGGACAGAACATTTTATTTGTGATGGCATCTTGCAGCAAGCAGCCTTTTTTAAAATGAAAGCAAAGTATAATTTCCATCCTCTATTTTCTGGCTTCCTGTGTGTGATGACGGTAAGAATGTGTTGCTACAAGAACTCTGCAACATCAGCCAGATGCTGCTACAACAAAAACGTTTGAATTTTCTCTTTTCCACACAAAAGCAAGTTATCATGTGAAAGGACTGCTTGAAAACAGTTACTGCTGAAGTACTTTAAATGTGCGACTCTTTAAGAAGCTCAACAGTACAGCACTTTCTAAAAAATAACAAAACCCTAAAGTTTTAAATACAAATGCAAATTAAAGGTCTAGCCTTATTTGTTACCTTTCATGCTTGAGTTTTGAGCTAAAATCATATTATGTTGAAAAATGCTGTACTTATAACTGTTTTAGTTCAATCCTAAAATCCATCCATCCATCCATCCATCCATCCATCCATCCATCCATCCATC